ACCGATTCTCAAGCTATTTACTGACACAAAGGAGGTGGTGATGTGATATCGTGGTTCCTTAAACACAGCCCTAAATACAGATATAGTTCTTGCTCCCCTCTATCACATATATTTACTATTTAAATTTGCAACTGCTCTTCTGTTGCAAGTAAAACTCTTTGGAAAAAAAAAGATAGCGTATGTTTTTTAGAACAAGGAGAACAAGTATCGGTTTCCTGTGATGATTTGTTCCAGTTTGCACAGTTTTGCCTTCGGAAGCAAGCAGAGGCAAAAGACACACAGTACTGCAGCACACTGTGGGATGATCTGTATTGTTATGTTCATTTTGTGTCTAAAAGTACAGTAATACAAGGGTAATGACGTCTCCCTGTCCTCAGAAGTTCCAGTTAAAATCATGTATTGGGATGCTTTTGAATAAATCCTACAAGAAACCATTTACTTTTTGAGATGTATCAAAAGTTTGTGCATTAACACTGTCATCATCTTGATAGACACTCAACTTTATTCTTTCCAAAGTAGTTTAAGATTGTCACCATTGCAACCCGAATCACTACACTGTATGTAAAACAAGGATAAGCATTCTTAAAGGCAAGATAATTATTTTTTCATAAAATAAAATTTTCACCAGATAACCACAGGTCTCCTTAATTTGTCTGAATAGTTGCAACTTTCAGCTGGAAAAGTTAAGCTACTTTATCTTACAGCTTTCATAAGAAGCAGACTATTTCCACAGATACCAATTTATCCCACCGTTCAACAGCGACAGGAGAAATCAACACCACACATTCTTATTTTCCTATTCAAGCATGATTTTACATTAAAATGTTCTTTGGGAATTGATGGGTAAATTGGTTTGTGCATTTCAAGACAAGACTAGACCTGTGTTCACACAGTTAAAACATCTAACCCGCTACTAATACAGGTTAATTTGATATCTAAACTAGTTAGACTACTATGGAAAACTATCCATACTCGAGCACTGCTGTTGTTACTATCTGTTTTGAAGGTAGGAGAGGTAATATTGCAAAGTTCAAGTGCTGTCTCTGCATTAACAAAAATCGAAAATCCCTCTAAGTACTATTTGATAGCTTCCTAGCTGTCAACATCTGCTCAGCATCCACAGAGCATCCCTTCCTGTAAGGGAAGGTTATACCTTGTTTCCGTAGTAATGAACAAGCTCTTTGTTCTAATTATTAACAGGAAAGAAAATATGACTGTTATACAACTACTGAACAACATTCAAACTTGAGGTCCTGGTTCTCCATGAAGCGCCTACTATAAAGAAAATAATTTCTACTGGCATCTCCCAAGAGTAACTCTTCAAAGAAAACAATATAGCCCATGTTTAAAATATGAAAACAAACAAAACGCTTTTGAAACTGCTGAGCATCAAAACAGTGTTACAGGTAATCAACAAAAACCCAAACTACTGATTCTCTTTCCTAATTTCAAAATTAATATGGAGAGGATTTGTAAATAATCTCAACAGCCAGGTAACAGCTTAAAACTTGGTCCAGATTCTAAGAAGTTCAGGAAAAAAAAAACCCACTTGAGGTTTTGTAGCTATTTGCTTAGATTTTGTCATGTATCACTGTCAATGAAAATCCACTGTCAAGCAATGCTGGTATCAAAAGTGAAACTAACTGTATATAACTGAAATCCAAATCCCTTTTGCTATCCAAGGAAAACTACATACAGTTGGTAAATAACAGATGTTCAGAACAAAAAAACACACACAAAAAAGACCACTTTGGTTTTCAATCAGTGTTTAGCAATTTCATGACTTGTACCCTTAAAAACACCACTTTGGGGACTAACTGAAGTAAAAATCATGTACAGAACTCTAGTCACTGCAACCATTTATCCAAAAGCATAAAATATACCAGGTAACAGCTACTGGCACCACAAACCAAGAACAAGGGGTTGGTTGTATCAAAGGAAAAGAAAACTACTGTCATACAAGTTATCACACAAAGCGTCAAGAATCACCCAAGTTTGTTTTTCACACCTCCACACTCTCTCTCTTAGGGCTGAGAAAATGCAAGCGAATACATCATCTACACCAGACACAAGCAAAAAAACCCAAGTAATTTAGAGAATTTTCAGGTTCTGCTCCCATTTGAGGTAACTGTTCTAAAGCAGTGAGAATAACCTGTCCCCTGCCAAACGGGAAGGGCAACGCAGAGAAAAGTTTAAAAATTTGACAAGTACCAAACCAACCCATAACACAAACTCCATAGTGTGAGTCATTTGAAAGCTTTTTAGAAAAGGGTTATGCAGTTATCATGGTCCTATTGATGACCCCCTCATCATGCACTTAAAGTTATCAGGATTTTTTTTTTTTAAATCAAACGCATATACTTAAAACACAGGTCACTATTTCATCCTTTCATTTTAATTTATCCTGCAGTTCATACAAGAAAAATGACTCTTACACACCCTCTCACATTGTGTCACATAATAAAAGCATTAAATTTCTTTACAGACATCACTTTAAAAGGAATATTTTCATTAAAAATTCAAACTTTTAAGCGTGTTAGTGGTTTCTATGAATAAGTTTTGCAACAGTTTCACAAAACAACGCTTTTTCTAATGAGTCCTTTACATAACATTAAAGGTACAGGAGTGCTGGGAAACTGAACATAAATACTTATTTTCATGGAAGTTTATCGTGTTTTTAAAAGTTAGCAGATCTCACCTGGCTTTTGCATATTGATTAGGCACCGGACAACGTGAGGAGACAGTACATTAATCTTACTTCATTATACTTCAGCAGTGGCTGCCGTGAATTCACCGATAGGACATCTGCACTTTGCAAAAAGCAACTTCCTCCGTACGAGGAAGTATCTACACGCCGATTCAATCAAACCCCCCCACATACAGCGTGGGTTTAGTGGGGAAGGAGGCGAGAGCGAGTGCCTTTTGGGGGAAAAGCAGGGGCTGTTGGACCAAAAGCAGCCCTGAGCTGGGCTCCTCCAGCAGCAGGAAGTTTCTATGGGGCCTTGCCGAGCATGCGCTGTGAGCTCCACAGTCTCCCTATGTGGCAAGAGTGCAGAGGCAACAACCAAACCAGTAACAGAGACAAGAGACCAAAAGCAACAAGCACCTTCCCCTCTATATTCCTACCGCCGCCTCCACACAGCCCTCCCCAGGCTGCTCTCTTGGCCCGGGCCCTCCCACCTCCAATCGCACGGAGCAGGAATTAGAGTCAGGCAACCAAATCTGCTACTGGAGAGAGAGGAGAGGAGCGGAGGAGCAGCTTGAAAGAAAACAGTGGAGTGCATAACCCATCTCTCCACCTCGCACAAGCTCAGGTGGCAGAGGCGAAGGAGCAAGCAGCGAGCTTGTGTCGTGTGTGTGTGTGTGTCCGTTCGCCCCCCCCACTACAAGAGGGGACGAGGGGGAGGAGAAGAGAGAGATGGAGATGGCACACAATGGCTGTCTGTGTTTGTGGGGAGGAGATGGCCTACAAAAGCAGCAATGGGGGGGGGTGCGCAGGGCTTCTCTGTGCCCCCCCGCCCCCCCCAATATA